GTTGTCGTCTGTCGTGGCCGTCGTTGTTGTCGTGGTCGCGTGTTGTCGTGGTCGCGTGTTGTCGTCGTCCGTTGTGGTCGTGGTGGGCGACGTGTTCGTGGTGGGTGAGCAAGAGGGTGGTGATGGTGGTGTTGTCGAGTGTTGTTGGGTTTGGGCAAAATTCCCACTCGCGGAATTCGCCGACGTCCTTTCTAGGAAGGAGGTCAGTACGTTGGTATATAGAGCATATAATAATGACCTATAGTAATGCCTTTCTAGTGTAACTGGTAAAGTGCTCGTCTCTATAGTATTGTCCCTATGTCCATAAGGTTGAGAGTTCAATTCTGTCAGGTTGCGCTTTTTTTTATATTATATAATAACAACAACAGCGACAAACTGCTGGTCCTACTGGGCTCCCTGTCCCCGGAAATTCCTACTGGACTCCTACTGGACTCCTACTGGACTCATTCCTTAAAAATCCAGTAGAATTCCACAATTCCTGGTGATTTGGGTTCAGTCCGGTAGGAATTTACTAGGACTCCACTAGGACTAGGATACAAAATTTGTATGGTGATCAGCCAACATAAAATGTGTCCCAGTCCTAGTCCAGTCCGGTAGGATTCCGGGAATCCAGTAGGAGTCCAGTAGGAATAGGTGGGGGAGAGTAAAGAGCTCGGAAGCGTCAGCGTTGTTTTCTTTTATTTGTTTTCTTTTTTGACACTTCTTCGTCTTCTTTTCTTATTTTAGATTTATTGGGGACAGGCAGCACGCGAGAACGTGCAGAATGCCTTGTGATTTCTGAATTTGTACTTAAAGGTGTCCTCCCACCTCACGAATGGAGCACTTTCTTTTTCCCCTCTCTCCCAATTCTTTCAACCGTCTTCTAAGTCGTCGCGCACCACGGCGCGGCATTCCTCAAGTCGAGACACATTAAGCACGTCGAAGATCTCACGCCACTCCCTCTAAGCGCGTTGGAAAGCTCACGCCACGCCTTTAAGCTTTTACAGTTTTGATATACGCTAAGTACTCATTTCGGTCTCTCCTTTGTCTCTTATCTCTCCCCCTTCTTTCGTTTTCTTTCTTTTACAAAGTAGTCGACCGGTTCTTTGTCCCCAGTACTGAACATTTGTTCTTCCACACCTGGACCTACTGTTTCTAGCAGTCGTACTCGTGTTGATCGTGAACCTAAGCTGACTGCTGCAAAGATTGATACAAGCTCTGACAATGATGATGCTAGTGATAATTCTGGGTCTCAGGCTGACAGTGGGGATCATAGTGACTCTGACTCTGATAATGATACTGGTGGCCAGAGTGCCAAGATTACGTCTGCTACTGTTCGCATAGGTCCACCTTCTAGAGCTAAGCGAACTCAGCCCAGTGAACCTATCACTGCTACTGCTGATGCTTCTGATGATAGTATTTTGGATGTGAAAATGCACAGTCCTCCTCATGGACAGTCATCTCAGCATGGCCAGGCCCGCAATGTTAAGGCTATTGGAAGTTCTAGTGGTTCTCAATTAGTTAGATCTAGTGGAGCATCTAAACCATATGGAGCCACTATCCATGGCAAGGCTCTGGGAAATGCCCCAAACATAGGGGATTTTGATCCAGCTGGGGATGACATTTCTATCGATATTGAGGGCACTGTCAACTTATTCCCTTCCAATACCCGCCCAACCACCATAGATATTGATGAAGCAGCTGTCATTGCAGTAACAATTCCATTTGAAGGGGCTTTGGCACCCCTTCTTCAACATGTTGCAAAGTATTATTCTCCAATGTCTGGTAAGCACTTCAAATACAATTTAAAATCTAAATTTTGATTATCTTCTCAGATAACAATGATCGTGTATATATTTTGGATCAGCAGAAACACAAATGGATAGTCAAGGGTAGATTTAGGGATGCTTTGGCATTTCAAGATTCAGTGGTTCACTTGGGCAAAAAACTGAATTG